AAGGATGCTGAAGCTGTCACAGGAATAAATTGCAATTTTCTCAGTTAAAAAGATAAACATATCTTCATTAAAAATAAAAAATTCTTACAATACAAATAAACAGCGTTTATCAAATAATTTTTATTTAAAAAAAAAAATAGGTCCAAAGGGCTAGCATACATTTAATTACAAATGGCAAACTCAAAGCCGCCTTTTAACAGCACTAAATAAATTAAGAAACCCTGAAAGAGAAAATCTATTTCAATGGACTTGTGGATTTCACTTTTCAATTAAGGCCAGAAAATTATGAGTCAAAGAGAATTCAGACCTCCCGCTCCTCGGCAGGATGTGAGTCAAGGTTTTGCATTTCAATTTCAATCAATTTAGCAGCGGGAGGAGATAAAGTGGGCGAAGACCCAGAATCTATGGCAGTAGCAACTTGAACTGCCTGTCATTCATCAGAGAGGAATGGAAGGAATGGAATTTAATGATATTATATCAATATTCTCGCATTGTCTGTTTGCTTATGTCCTGTTGCTGTTGTCAACGTCAATGACATGCAATTATTTTCGCATTAAAACTCATTTCCGTTATTGTAACTGAAGCGAGACATTAACGGTTGGATGAAGCATCTATGGCTTTATGGCCCGGCATTAGTGTTGAGAAATATCTATTGCAAGAACTGGATACAAATGGATTGTTAACGGGGAAATTGCAATGCAAAAAAGCGTTATAATTGACGGAACGTTGAGTATTTATTCGACAATAATTTTCCAAAGATTGACTTGTGTAAGAATAGTTAAATATTTTTATATAACCGTGCATTCTACAAGTACAAATTGCGAGGATTTCAGTAAGATAAGAAGATGGTGCAATAAACGAAATGGCTTTTCAAATGTGTTCAGGATAAAAATTAAAGAAAAAAAATTAAATCTGTATCTATCTATCTCTACTTAGAATCTTAGAATTAACAACAAAAAGGATCGCTCATGATTGAAAAATATTTTCACCATGCACACTCAAATAAATAGTATTCACTGCTCAATATATGTCCATTCAAAGCGAGATCAACCAAGTATATTATAAAAAAACATAAATAAATTAATGTTTTGAAAATTTCTGGGATCTTATTTAAATGTACATATATTGTCCCTAATATTTTGTTATTTAATTGAGAAATTTCCTAAAAAACAAGAATCAAATTATACCATTTGGCAGCACTGACGACCATGTCGGCTAATGGCCAGCAACGTTGCCAACGCCGACAATCAATACTCCAATGGGTCAGTTGTTGCCGCTCTCCACTCGTCACTCGCCACTCTTATGTAAATTCGAGTTGCAGACCTCCCCTTTTCTGTTCCTCTGTTGGCATATCATAATTAAAGGGATATATGTGGGTGGTTGCTGGATGATAGCCCCATCAACCGCCATGTCCTTCCATGCGGCGGCTGCATGGTCATTTTAAAATTATTGCTGTGTGCAGTGGGCAAATGAGAAAAGTTGGCGAAAAATTGCATTTGAAGGCGAAGGATTCGGGCACTTTAATATTTACCATCAATTTAAAATTCGTGCAAACATTTACATCAGTATTGCGGCGGGAAGTTATTGTCCTTTCGACCATCCACTTAAGGTCATTAATTCATTCGGCGACAGCTGCGAAAAGTGAAAATCGTCTTTCGGTGGGGAAATGAAATTAACATACTGCGCAGCAAGTGGGAAAATTTAATTAAAGTGGCGTAAAAAATGATTGTTAAAAGCGAGCTGCTTGGCTATCATTTGCATCGAGTGGAATACAAATGTTGCCATTTCATTCCGATCTTATTGACCATGAAAAGAGGTCGGACAACATTTTCATTTAGTGGCCGCGTATCAGTTCTTTTTTATTATTATTGTGGGTATTGTTTATTGTGCTGCCTAATGTGGCATAGTCTAGACAGTTTTAATATATCTAAATAGTCGAGCAGGGGCACGGTAGGCCAGCTCAGGCTCGTGTTAAAGTTGAAAATACTTCGCAATGCTCATACGCCGCGTTGGCCACATAAATCTTTCTCCCTCGTACGATTCCAACTATGTGCGTGTCTGGGTGTGTGCACATTAAAAGTTTGCCTAAGAGCTTATGGCACCATTTGTAAAAGCGATTTTTAATGCTGCTGCGAGATCCACCGAGCAGAGGGTGTGAAGGAGTGAAAGGCTCCCTCCAATGCCAGGGCCATCTAATGGCTTTCCACGCATCACAGGGAAAACTTTTTTAATGAGAGCGCTCCGTGCCAATACCCTTTGTCTCGAGATACGTGAAATAATATCCGACATCGAGATCTTCCACTTGATATATTATTTCCGGACTATAACTAAGTTGAGTAACGATAAACGCTCCAATGATTTTCCAGAAAGCATTTGGTTATGACGGTTTATTTATGAAATCATTTCTTAAACATCCGTAGGATTCGTATATGTTTAATGTTTGAGGTTGCATATAATTTAAATCAGATAATAATAAATCATATTTATTTCTCCCATCTTCCAAATTCAAATTCCGATATCTTAAACCGATTAGGAGCACCAAGTTGACGCCCATTAAGTGTGCAATAGCTTCGCCTTAAATACCAGAAATGTAACCATTCGAGTCGCCTTTCGAAATCGGTTAGTGTGATTTAAATTGTTGCTCGGCTTGGCAGCTCGTGGCATTTCCCGCGGGAGGAGCTTTGGGGGCTGGGTAATTAGTTGAAGCGCATTAAATCGCTATGATTTTGTCACGGCCTGACATTGAGGGGCTTCGGTCTTAGCTCGGGTTACAGTAGCTACAACACGGCCAGTATCATGCGAATCGGCTTAAAAAGTTTCCATGGCAATTGAAAAACGTTTTATCAATTTTTCATGAAATTGAGTAGAAAATTTGTTGTTGGCGTGCCATTATAGCCTACGCTCAGTTGGACGTTTTAATTGGAAAGTTTTACATTACAGTTGCAGCATATCTGAAATGAAATCAAGCACCTGCTGTGTTTATTTGTAAATAAGAGGGAAACTGTATCACAATGCTGTGAAACTCATGATTTAATATATGCATTTTACTTAAATTGGAAAAATATTTGATCAAAAATATTTCAAAATATTTATAACAACCACTTATCACAGAACGGAAACAATTCAATTTAATTCCGCTAATCGCTTCAAAATCTCTTCATTAGCAGAATACTTTAAGTAATACATAAGCATTCACAATAAAACTGTTTGGTCTTATTAGCAATCATTGAATATGGAAATCGGGTAATCAAGTCTGTCAATATTCATCACTGGGCTATTGTAAACGATGGAAGGGCATTCCTCCCGAAATATGAATAAAACATTTATCAGAATCATTTTAATAGCTTATTAAATATATTTTAATGCCATTAATCAACGGCAATGTTTGCTTCATTTGTGCCTGGGGCCAGATAGCCATTTAAATCAGCTGTTGCATCAAGATCGCCACCGGACTTGCTGCCAATAACACCATCGCCCAATGGCGAGCATTAATGTCAATCAGCCGTGTAATTAACGCGGCCAAATAGACAACAGCCGTAACAACAGTTCCAGTGACAAACGGGAGCCATAAATATGGCTAATCGGTATGGCAATGATTTGATTAGATCGACCGAGCTACATACATGATTTCTACAGCTCAGCACTTGAAAAAACGAAGGGATCTAAGCCATGTCATTTGCAAACAAATATTGCAATATCAAAGTAAGAGCTATATTTATGTCATTTATTATATTTGTGTTTTATTTAAAAATCATTATAATTACAACACTTACGATACCCTCCCAAATGCTTAACCTTTTCTTAAATAAAGACATCTTTGCAAATGCAAGCCGTGTTTGTTTTTTAAGGTGGCCATTATGAAAATAATTAAAACTTGTATTCAAAATTACATTATTAATAAAAAAACCTTAAGAGAATAAGAACAATTTAATTTACTTTAAAATTTCTATCAAAAACTTGTTAAGAAATATGTAATGTGTTTGTTATTATTTATATTGTAATTTTTAATCTGAGTGTGGGTCCTGGCCGGCACTCCAAAGGCAATGCGAGTGCGACGAATTTCTGACAGCCCGAATGTCGGCGACATCATCAACGCCAAGTAATTAGCATTTAGCAGGTTGAGCGAATGTCAAGCGATGGGTTCGGGTTCACGTTTGGATTTGGATTCGGGTTCGGTTTGGGCTTTGGCCTGGCTTGGGTGCCACAATATGTATATTAGCCGGGGGCCAAAACGTTTGTAGCTATTTGGCAGCTGACAGCGGCTTTCAGTGTCAGTTTCTGTTTCGGCGGCGCCAAGCAATTAATTAAATGCTGTTAATGAATCTGAATTCCGCGTTTGCGGTAGACACTAAAATGTGTTTGCTTTGATGAAGGGAAAGGAGTATCAGAAATTTGTTATGAGCATTTTGCTGATTCTGCGGGATGGAGACACCTGGCCTAACATTTCGGTGTTTGAAAAGGAACTGTCAAATTTTTGACATCTCAACTATTTTATTTCAGAGCTAACTGACTAACATTTAAATGTAAAATATGAAGACAAGGTTGCTAAGAAGAAAATTGAAATGTATGTGTAAAATGTTCCACCGTGAGAAAACCCTTAACGACTATAGAAACTACATTTGTCCATTTCTTTCAATACATTATTCACAATTTATTAAATATATTTTTTCACACTCCACTTTTTTATTTAAAGTACTTAAGAATTCAGGGTATTTATCTTCTTCTTGATTATTGGGAATAATACAAAAATACTCTAACTTATGTAATCTGCTTAGCTCCGCCCAGATTAATTCCTACACAGAAGTGTCAACTTAAAATAAATAACCTGACTTGGCAGATACCAACAGATGGCTATTCCTCTGTGGCCCAAAATGCTCACTTTTATGCATTCATAAATTATTTAAGATCCGTCAGCATTTAAAATCTTCGAATATTTTGTTGTGAGCTTCATGCTTCAACAGTCGATTTTAAACAATACCGCATAGTTTCCACTCATTATCTCAGTGTGTGTCGTATCTTATTTATTTGATGTCTTGACTTGGCCTTTGAATGGATGCTTGTCTAATCTAATTAAATGGATTCCTACAGCCTGACGAAGCGCGGGAAAGGAGTGATCGTGGGCAAAGGACCGCGTCTGGGTCGAACGGTGCTGGTGAGGAAGTAGTTGGAGAATCGGGACTGGAACCCGCTTCCTGGAGCAGGGGCATGGATGGTTTGCACGGCTTGGGGGGCAGGATGAACTGAGTACTGTGGGCGGGGAGCTGGGGCTGGTTGAACCGCGTACTGCGGGCGGGGAGCAGCCTGAGGAGTGACCTTGGGAACAGCCGGAGGAGCAACTCTAAGCACTGCCGGCTGAGTGACCTGGACCACAGGTTTTGGCGTAGTTTTCACCTCCGTCTGAGGCTTCTGCTCCGCTGGCTTGGCCTCATCTTCGAATGGCGGCAGCAGATCCAGATGCAGTTGCTGTACTTCCGGCTTGCTGGCGACGGCCTTCGATTTGTCCTCCTTGGCCAGTTGAGCTGGCTTCTGGTAATAGGATTTCTTGGTGGGTTTTGTGGCCAAAGTTGTGATGGGCCTCACAGTTGTGGTAGTCGTGGTGGTGCTCGATTCATCCAGCAAAGGTGGCAGTAAGTCATTGAAAGGCAGATCCACTTTAGCCGCCTTAATTTCCGAAACATCAGCGCCACACAAAGCGATAAGAATGGCAGATGCAATAAATAACTGCAAGAAATATATTTAAAGAATTAAATTATGGGTAAAATATTGCACATATATATATATATAAATACAAATTGAAAATAAAATGATTAGTAATGAAAGGAAAATTGAGAAACATTTCTCAATATCAAAATAAGTAGGCAATTGTATTTTATGAAGATGAAGATTCACAAACAAAAGATATTCAAATTTAATAATTAATTGAAGCCCTATAAAGCTATTAGGTACAATAACACTTGAAAAGGAAGACATCTATCTTAAATAGGGCCTACAACTGGGTGTAAATTAACGAATAACTATATCATTTGTCAGAAAATAGTTGCCTTGCCTAATAAATTAAATTAATTTCTTGACCAATTTCGGTGTGTTTCCTAAGTTATGGACCTATTGTTTGATATGGTCACAGCCATTCCAATGTGTTCCAATTTCCAAATTTTTGCTCTGAAAGTGTGGGAGCTGAATTGACCTTCAAATCGGCAAAAGCCTTGCATTGCTCGGCACATGCCAAAACTGGATTTATTTATGGTCAGTTCTATTCGCATTTATATTCTAACGCAAATTTTCCTTTCCCTTGCGGGAAAGGTCATTAGACCTTCTCCGGCCCTGATTAACATAGCGACTATAATGAAACTAATCGGGCTTGAAATTTATGCAAATTCGTAGTTTGAATAGAAAGAAATTATATGTCATCTTATGGTCATGGTTCGCAGATTCACACCTCGGATAATAAAGCCATTTATTTCACTGAATAAATAACTACTTTGAAGTTATATAATAAATAGTCCAAGTTAGTTTACCAGTCTGTACATTTTTCAGAATATTTAATCGAATATATAATTGGCAACATATTTGAAAACTTTAAAAAATTATTTTATTATGATAATTTTTGGCCAGATCCAATTGCATATTGTAATTTATGCGGCAAACAGGAAATTCACTAATGATGCTTACGTAAATAGCTAATTAGAACAATTTGTTGCATTCCTATAAAGTCTATTTCAGGAAAGACCAGCTTAAAACACAATTTCCATATACATTTGGAGCAATAAAAAATTCACGAGTATGCAGAGGAGTTGCCCACTTACGAATTTAAAAGACATGTTTGCTGGGGATCCTATTTGATTTTTATAATCCGTGAGAATACTCGTGTCCCGAACCGAACACTTTGAAATTTTTGAACGAACTAAAAGCGGCGCTGAGCATGCGCAGCACATTTATAGTCGATGAAACCAATCCATTTTGAAACTGAAACGCGGGAGAAGTTACACGATCTTGCTGGACAGTGTAAAGTTTGATAACCGGATTAAGTTGGGGGTTTTAGTTTATTTTTGTTTTTCTTGGGACGGAAGATGAGCAGGAGAGCGGTGTTGCTCTTGGCCAATTAAGTGGTTTCTCAGACGTTTATCACTCTTCAATTTCGGTAGAATGCAGCAGCATAAACAGCTGATTAACGGCTGAACTCTTGGGGTTCACGGTCGCATCTTGTGGATACAAGATCTCGTATCTCATGTATCGTATCTGGTTCTCGAGGGTTGTCACACACACCTGCGAGCTCTTAACTCAATTTCGGTGAGAGCGAATGTAATTTTAAACATTTTTGTCAGCGGCTTGCATAAATTGTGACAAAAAGCGGAGCTGGTTTGTGTCACTTCCTCATATGAGAGGATGTTTCCCCACGCTTATAGATTGATTTTATTTCCATTTCTTAATTGATTTTAATAGTATTCGCTCCGTAGCCAACCTGTTATTTGCCATCCAGTGGAACGCCCTCATTTGCATTTAAATCGTGGGGGATTCTTTGATGGAGTGAAAGCAAATTAGTGCCAATTACAAGTGCCCCGATAGCAGATCAGCATCTCCGTCATCAAAGCCCAGAATTTGATAGGGCCCTCCGTCGGCTGTTGGCTTTATTACCTCAATTTCGGTTGATACATCTCCAATTTATGCAAATTATGTGAGCGTTGATTCCTAACGCCGAGACTTTTTGTGTGCGTGCGAAGGCTCATAAATTATGAGCCGCATTAGAGGCAACCGGATTTCTCGGGTTTTGTTTGTTTTGTTCGGTTTGGTTCCACGAGATTAATTGCTCAGCAGCCCATTGTTAAGATTCGTGTGGTATTTTCTGATAAGCGTTAGCAAATAGTTTTAAACTCCGTGTTCTGTTGCAGAGGTATTTGGCCTAAGTGGATTCATTTTTAAAAGATTTTTATCGCTTCATCAGAGCAGTGTAGTGCTCTTTGCCAAACGATATTTGGATCGCAAGGTATTAAAGATATCATTAATCAGATTTTTGGTTATAAAACTTGATGGTTTTACAATATGAGGTGACTTACTAAATTTGTATTTGGCAAATCTGCTTTGAGGTTGTACATTTAATTAATTTATATTATCACGGTTGATTCGGAACTATTTGTGGGCCTTTTTCTGTATTAGGATTTTTATGATGTTAACAGTTAATGAACTAACTTTAATGGATTGTACCCAATTTAATTTTTTATGGTTGTTGCAAAGGTAAAACATCTTCAAGCTAAGAAAACAGTTCTGTTAATTTGATAGTATAAGTGATAAATATTTGTATTACCTGTAAACAATTCGAAATCCTCTCTTGAGCTCTTTCCAACTGCACTTCGCCGTTTACCTTAATTATTGTATCGGTATTTTATTGAGAATTCACGTGCCTCAAATTCATCAAAAGCGAATTATTTATGCGGCCCCAACTGAGCCCGTCTGAATTGTTCAAGTGTTTTCACTTAACCAACCCATTGCAGTGGCTCCTCTTTTATTTGCGGCATTGTTATTGTTCTCGATTGCGTTCCATGACCGACTCCGACTCCATTTCCCGGCTCCCATTTCCTTCTCTGTTATTTATTCGTATGTATTTATTTATATTTATGTGGGAGTAAGCCTGCCTACGATAAGGGAAATTCCGAGTACCCAATACCGAAACCGAACATCGAACTCCGTCTGCAGGAGCAGGGTCCTTTGGGTACTCCCGCGCATTCAATTGTCTTTGTATATACATATAAATCGAAAAATTCGGTTTTCCACAGAGAGCGACGACGCGTGTCAATCCGTGACATAAACAATGTTTATGGACGGAAGATATGCCAACGAAATCGAACCTTAAACTTACATGGATATTCTTTTAAATCGAAATAACACATGTGTCAATACATGGCCCTCAAAAATTGATTTGAATATTCCATAAAATGAATTACTTCCAATCGTACAGGGGAAAGCGACTCCTGTAAATGCAGTGCAAATGAAAGATGGGTCAAATCAATTTAGACATTAAATTTGTGGTTTGGCATAATTATTGAACCGTGGAAGTCTATTTGCCTTTGGGTAACTTTCGGTTACTGTCAGCAGTTGGGTGCTCAAAGCTGTCTGCACCTTCTTGATGACAAGTCAAATTTTTCATAAAGTTTTCAAAAACACTACAGAAATAACATTTTAAATTTATAAATTGAAAAAAATTAAATGCTTCATAAACTGTCTTCAAAGTTATAGCGTTAGCACTAAAAATGAATTTTAAACATTTAATTTTGTCATTTAAAGCTTCTTTGAGCTTAGATAATCTTGAGTTTTTAAGTTTTCAAAAAGGAAACAAAAATATATTTTCAGCTAGAGGAATAAAACTTCCTTAATGATCGACTTAAGGCAAAAATTTGCGGTCTTTTTATGTTGAATGTAAGCCTTTATTTGGTAACCTCTTGTTGTTTTTTTATTTTGGCCGGTACTTCCAGGTAAACAAGTGGTAAGCATTTTAGCCGGACTTCCTACCTGCTTTTGGTAGAACATGTACTGGCACTTTTGGCCCGGCCCGAGGTCGTTTCGCCTGCCAATCTGTTTGCTCTTGCCCACGAATTTACTAGCGGCTTTGTGTTGCTTCCAGCCCTTTTTGGCTCTCTGGACCGGCTTGAGCTGGAGCTTCATCGGGAACTTGAGCGAACTGGACTCCTGCCCCAATGCCGTTTACAACTTCCTGGTCAGGCTTTTGGCCTTGCCTTTTGGCCTGTCGCTGCTCTTTTGTTTGCCATTTCGTTTTCGCTTTCGTTTCTTGTTTTTGCACCCAGTGGTGGACAGCAAGGGGTATATTATACCTATTTACCGGAGTTTATCTACATAAAAAAAGTAAAAAGGTTTTGTTATCTCTAAAGAGGATTCCTAATTTTTGGGGGAAGTCGTTAACTGCTACCCTTTAAAACCTTGAAAAAAACCATCTGTATAATAAAATTGCAGTCATATCGATGCATATAAGTTAGGCATAGATAAATACCAACATTAAAGTTAGGATAAATCTTGTAGGTTTTGCTATACAAAAAAGTCTACGGTAATATAATTGTTTTTAATATAAAAATAACACGACCTATCTTAAATAATAACTTTAATTATAAATAATTATTATGTTTTAATTATTATAAAATAATGTCGCATTACACGGTATTCCATAGTCGCATTCCTCGTCGAAGACTTCCTATAATTCTTGCTTTTTTCCCCTGTGGGGTTGGCCTTTACGGTTATCGTCGCTTTCTGGTTGCCTGTTTGTTGTTCTTGGCCGCAAGTTTGTTTTCGGCTGTTGCCAAGTGGAATGCACCGTCTGCAGCCGCGTCCCACCCCTGTAATTAGCACAAAAATGAGACGAGAAGGGCGATTTCCCCCAGAAAAGCAGGATGCACCCAAAATGTTTGCAACTTGAAGTTCCCGCTGAGAGTTGCAGTTGTAGTTCCTGCTATAGTTGCTGGTGCAATTGCATGATTTGCGGGCCCCAAAGTCAAACTCAAGGCACTCGCACAGCGCGCACTCGAAAGTCATAAAGTGCAAAAATTGTTACACTCAGGCAGAAATGAATTATGAAAGTTGGAGCCAACCTCCTCAGATTCTTTGCCTTATTTTGCTTACCCTTTTTCACTTCTATCCCCGTTTCCCCCTTTTCCACCGCCCGTTGAGCTCAGCGAAAGTTAAGTTTTCGGGGAAAGTTCTGTTTGCGAGTCGAGTGCATATTATTTAATTCAATTTGAATGAGAAACTTAAAAATATTGCGAACTCGAAAGCAAAGCAGCGGGAAGTCGTTGTCTTCTATTTTCATTTACCACTGCCTATCCAGTTCGCAAGTTGTATTTTTATTCGATTTGAGTTCGGACCACTCCCTAACTCTTTTCAGCTCCGACTTGGCTTAAAATTGAGAGGGTTCAAAGAAGAAAATTCAGCCTTTTGTTCTTCAAACTTGTAAATTAAATCTAGGACTAAATTAAGTGAGGTGCATTGAGGCGATAAATTCCAGGAAAATGTTTTACGTAGTAAGGCAACATTTTATTTGAAAAATAATTAAATTAAATTATTAAACTATTAAAAATGAAAATTATGTAATTAAAATTGTTTTTCCACTTTATAAGAACAAAGCCATCAAAAAATTATTTTGTGTATAATTATTTATTTTTTTTACTTTCTCAACTTTTTGTACCACATCACTGAATAAAATTGAATAGTAAAACACGATCTCTATAGTCAATGGTCTCGATGGGAAACAGTAACCAAGTATAAGTGGCTTTGCCAACGAAAATATTGTTTATCAAATCATAGAATCGAATCATAGAATCGAATCATTAAATCGAATCATAGAACCGACTCATAAAAACGAATAATTGAATCGAATCATAGACTCGAAACATTGAATCGAATCATAGAGTCAGAAAGTCGAATCTTAGAATCGAATCATAAAATTTAATCATAAAATCGTATCATTGAACCGAATCATAGAATCAAATCATAGAGTAGAATCATAGAGTAGAATCATAGAATCGTATCACAGAGTCATATCACAGAGACGAATTATTGAGTCGAATCACAGAATTGAATCATTGAATTGAGTCATGGAATCATTGAGATAAGTTTTTTTAAGCTTTTAGCTTTATCTGTCAAACTATGGTATTTAAGCCAATGATGTATACAAAGCGTGTATAATATTTCAAAATACCTTTTCTTCGACATATATAATGTTTAAAATCTTTACACTAACTATAATTGTTAATGGTAATATTTCGATATTACAAGTATAAGAAAGAGCAATACAAATAACAAGAAATACATGTTTATATATTGGCTATTTTTATTAAAATTAGCTTAGTCTCCTTAAATTCTGCAGATAGCTGAATTTCCGTGTT